GTAAACTTCAATTTGAACTATAGAATTCCTATCACATAAAAGAATACTAAAAGCTCCAAATTAGAGAGTGTAATTCCCTACAACCTTCTGTAATACAGCTTCTAATGGCTTCTCTGGCAACGCTGAAATCTTCCACAGGGGTCCTTACTGAAATGACTCACCTCAGGCAGTTACAATCACAGGCTTTCCTCATTACTGTGGTTACTCAGAAGAAACACCAACCAAACCTTTGGCAAACTGCTTAATGCAAAAACAACAGTGACTGTAAATATGCAAAGCACAAACATGAGGCAAAGGAGTATGATGTTACTGAATCCTTGAAAGAGTTGATGTTGAGTGAAAATTACTCTCAAAGAGCCTGAAAAGCACTAACACCAGTCAGTATACTGTGCAAGACTCAACAAGGATGGGTTTGTGTTTTTCCCACCACCACCCCCACACACAAAAGCAAACACAGGCCATCAAGATGGCTCAGAGAGTAAAGGTGTTTGCAGCAAGTCTAAAGACCCAAGTTCAGTCTCTGCAGACCTCAAGAAAGGAGAGAATCAAGTCTCAAACAAGTTGTCTGTCCTCTGACCTTCACAAAAGTATCCACTCTAGGCTCACCGCTGGAGCGCACAGACGCACAGACACACAAAATAAACATAGAAATGTAAAATCATCAAAACTGTACCTAAGAATACTCTTTTTTTTGTGGGGGGGTTTTGAGACAGGGTTTCTCTGTGGCTTTGGAGGGTATCCTGGAACTAGCTCTTGTAGACCAGGCTGGTCTTGAACCTAAGAATATTCTTGACATGCTTGTAAACCGAGCACTAGGGAGGTAGAGGCTGCAAGACCAAGAGTTCAAGGGTGCTCTGTTACAAAGGACCCAGGCCCCCCCACACACACACACCAAAGTCAGTCTTATAAAGCAACACCTTTTTTTTTTTGGGGGGGGGAGACAGGGTTTCTCTGTATAGCCCCTGCTGTCCTGGAACTCACTCTGTAGACCAGGCTGGCCTCGAACTCAGAGATCCATCTGCCTCTGCCTCCCGAGTGCTGGGATTTAAGGTGGACGCCATCATCTCCCAGTCTCAAATGGTTCTTTTTTTGCTTTATGCACACTGTTCTTAACACTGAGTCAAGGCAATAAAGCAATACTTTTACAGGTACAGATGAAATTAACAATGTACTTTTCTAGCACTTGGAGGTAGAGGCAAGAGGATCTCACAGTCAAGGTCACCTTCAGCTGTAATCAAATTCCAGCAAAGCCCTCCCCCCCCAAAAACAGCAGTAAGCTAGATGGCTCATCTTGTAAAAGGTGCTTGCTACCAAACATGATGAACAAATCCTGGAACCCACAGATGGAGAGAGCCAATGTTCCTAAGTTACACACACACACACCCCCAATAAATGTAAAAAGGGATTTTTAAAAAGTGTGCTGAGCCGGGCGTTGGTGGTGCATGCCTTTAATCCCAGCACTTGGGAGGCAGAGGCAGGGGGATCTCTGTGAGTTCGAGGCCAGTCTTGTCTACAGAGTGAGTGCCAGGATAGGCTCCAAAGCTATACAGAGAAACCCTGTCTCAAAAAACTAAAAGTGTGCTGGGCTAGAGGGTTACAGAAATATGCATTTAAAATACATTACCCAAGTCAGTCAAATAAAGCTATCTTACAATTATGCTGAAATAATTAAGAGTACATGGTAGTTCACAACTATCCATGCTCCAATTCCAGTGGGGTCTTATTCTTCTGGCATCCACAAGATGAATACATATACAAATACATTTTAGAAAACTTATCTTAGAACTACTATAATACTAAGTGTCTCTTCCATCCCGCCTCCTGGCTCAGTGGTTAAGAACACTGCCTGCTCTTTCAGAGGGCCAGGATTCAAATCCCAGCACCCTTAAGACACATCACAACTTTCTCTAATTCCAGTTCCAGGGATTCTAAGGCACACATATACAGGCAGGCAGGCAAAACACACATACTAAAAAGAAAAGAAGGGGCTGGAGAGATGGCTCAAAGGTTAAGAGCACTGACTGCTCTTCCACAGGTCCTAAGTTCAATTCCCACCAGATGCATGGTGGCTCACAACCATCTGTAATGAGATATGGTGCCCTCTTCTGGCCTGCAGGCATACATGCAGACAGAACACCCTATACATAATAAATAAATCTATAAGAAAAAAAAAAAAAAAAAAAAAAAACTCAGCTATGTAGCTCTGGATAGCCTGGACCCTGCTATATAGACCAGATTGTTCTGGAATTCAAGGGTACTGAAATTAACACACAAAAGGAATACCACCATGCACGTTCCCATTCTGACTGCAAAGTACCTATAGATGTTACAATAAGTGAAATTTAATTTTTTTTTCTTTGTTTTATTTGAGGCAGCATTAGCCAACGCTAGCCTGGAGCTGTTTACTTTTTCTTTTTTTGAGACAGGGTTTCTCTGTGGCTTTGGAGGCTGTCCTGGAACTAGCTCTTGTAGACCAGGCTGGTCTTTAACTCAAAGAGATCCTCCTGCCTCTGCCTCCTGAATGCTGAGATTAAAGACATGGGCCACCACTGCCGGGCGGAACTGTTTACTCTTGCCTTAGCCACCAGAGTGCTAAAACTATAGGCATTCACTACTTTAGGCTTGACTTCCATTTGTCTTCTTTTTTGGTATTTTCTCATTCTATTTCAAAGAACCAAAAAAAAAAAAAAAAAAAATGGCCTGCCCAGTTATGTGGCTTTTCACCATCTAATCCAAGTCCGGCAAAGAAAAAATTTCAAATACAGGCCAGAGAGAGATGTCCCTATTAGGTAAAGGCACCTGCTGCCTGGGACCTATGTCCAAACTCCCCATCTATCCACACCCACCAAATAAATTTCTAAATGCAAAAAAAAAAAAAAGAAAAGAAAAGAAAAGAAAAAGAAAAACAAAACAAAACTGTATTGCAATGTTAGGCTGTGGTGATGTGGTGGTGAACCCTTTACATTCATATGCTGGGTTTATTAGCAACCAAAAGCACAGCATCAAACTAGCATAGAAGTAACACCAAGAGCTTCCTTCCCCATATTTACTACACCCTACAGTACCTGCACTATTTAGAAAGAAAGGAAAAGAAAAGAAAAGGAGGGAAGGCCACATGCTTTGTTCCTGGTCATGACCATCAGCACCAACCCCTTAACCTTGCAGACATGAGTCTGAACTGTCAATAACTGTCCAGAAATCCTTGAAACTAGAATACAATGCTACTTCATCATTAAAGGCATGAGATATTTTGATGACAATCACTAAATGTTTTATCAATAAAAAGCTTTAAAACTGAAAAGAAAGCACATCTATGGCTGAGATGACATTAAATCCTCAATTGTTACTCTCACCACTGCAAAGTTAAACTTATCCACATACATTATTATGCGCCATTCTTCACAACATGTTCAAAACTAAGAGACACAAGAATACACCAAGATCCACTTGCCTTTGCTTCCCCAGTGCCGGGATAAAAGGTGTGTGCCACCAAGCCCAGCTAATTTTTCCTAACCTTTCAAAAGCTTAAGACTGAACTGGACAGTGATGGTGCATGCCTTTGATTCCAGACTGGGAGGCAGAGGCAGGCCGATGTTTTCAAGGCCAGCCTGATCTACTGAGCAAGTTCCACAAGTTCCTACACAGAAATATCCTGTCTGGAAAAAAACAAAACAAAACTTAGAGGAATTAAGTGAGATTGGAAGACAGAAAGTAAATTCACTGTGACAGTGGCCAAAAAAAAAAAAAAAAAAAAAAAAAAAAAAAAAAAAAAAAAGAGCACAGAGGAGTAAACTATAACCACAAGTCTAGACTCATACTTAACAAATGAAGGGGACAATAAACATTAAAATTCCACGGAAAGTCACATGTTGAAATCAATCACAAATACATGAATCAATTTGACTAATAAGCAATATTATAAATTATAACCTAAAAACACTTTAATAATAATCTGGAGTCAGGTACCACCTCCATACAACTTTAACCAAACACTTTTTACTTTCCTGAAAAGTCTATCGTGGAGTGCCTGTAATCCTAGCACTCTGGAAACTCAGCAAGGATTTCAAGTTCGAGATCAACCTGACCTACAAAGTAAAACACTGTCTCAACAAAGTTTTTGTTGAACCATTTCCTCATATTTTTATTAGCAAGGGATTTAACTGCTGTTTGACTGTGACTGCAAAGTAAAATCAAGTCTGTCTATTCTCCGGTTAAGATCTCAGTGTGCTCCATGTACAAATCTACATAAAAATACTTGAGCCAGCTGCCCAGAACCGTGCAACCTGAACAGGGTTACAAATTAGACTCAGCTTTGTCGATTACCAAAAGACCTTGAGTGGGGTTTCCAGTTCTCACCTGTGAACCCGAAGTTATAGTCAAGCCTTCTAAGTGGGTAAAGGGATTCAATGAAGTTTACGTGAAAGCAAAAACCTTGCCAAGCGCCTACCTGAGGTACTTAAACACAACTGCCACCGAACAGTACTAGTAAATACAAATCATGTTTACGACAAACTGTACCAGGTTATCACCCGTATCAAGTGTCTACTTTCCCAAAGAAGGGTCGAAACGGAATCACTCCTAGAGAAAGCACTGCCATAATTTCTTTCCGCTGATTCTGGTTAGAAATCAGGCTAACGACGACGTCTGCGTCCAAATAACGGAAGGATTTGCCCTTCTTTCTCATACGGTAAAAACCCGGAGCTCTTCCTTCCTTTTTCCCGCGTTTCCCGCACTCACCAAGGTGCTTCTTTTAAGCGCAACCCCGGACTTCCTCCACAGAGCAACACATCACCCTCTCCCCGGGGTTGGCGCGGAACCCTCCCTGCTGGGCCACCCTCCCACCTCCCTCAGCCGTCAGGTGCCTCAGGCGGCGCGACGGGGACCCCAAACCGTGCCGAGACCCGGCCCGCCCTCCCTCCGTCCGTCCGTCCGTCCCTCCCTCCGTCCGTCCGTCCCCTCCCCCAGGCGCTGGGCACAGGCCCAAGGCCCACGGGACTTACGCTCTCGTGGTCCCACCGCACGTTGCTGCGCTTCTCGTCCGGGGCGAGGTTTCGGTCCC